TGTGCCACCACTTCTCCCAAAAAGCCATAAATGTCATCTGTAAAAGCAGACTAAGCATTTGCTTTATTATTTTATTATTTATTCTATTATTTTATTTTTGCATGTACCCCTGGGACTTGGGCTGGGATGTAGGGGTCTTCTATCCTGGTCTTCCTTGGCTTTCCTGGTGAGAGAGGTCTGTTGACAAGTCAAGATAAAGAGTAACTCTTTCCTAATCTCCTGCCCACCAGGAAAAGACGTCAGGGCCCACAGGGCAAAATCAAGTCAATGAGTACCAGCTTGGATTGATTGTCTGTACCACTTGCAGCCCCACAACCCTCTGGGGAACTGGAAATTCTAGGTGAACCTGGAGCCCCAACTCGTTCTCCTTTTCAGAACCCTGGATCACAAAGGTAATAATAATGATCCCAATTATTATTAACAATTACTGAGCAGTCAGTACCTATGAAGCACTGAATTACAAATCATATACAGTTTATCTCCGTTAAGCTATATAATAATAACTGTTATTCCTATTTTACAGATAAAAATATTGAGACGTGGAAAGGTCAGGATCTTACTGAGGTTAAGAGCCAGTGAAAGACAGAGCCAAGAGCAAATGCAGGTCTTTCTGATTTCACTCTTAATCAGAAAGCCAATACTCTTCATCACCATGACATCGTGCCAAATGTGGGCAAGTTTCTGCTTCTGTGCTGGAAATCAGAGTTCACCTGGCTAATACAATACAAACATGAAAGGGCTTCCATTATTTTTCATGCCAGCAACAAACACCCAAGGGGTTAGGCATCAAAGTGAACTGTCTTGATTTTATCAATTGCCTTTTCTCCTCTACTTGCCACTTGAGACTTTGCTGTCCTCTGTGTACTGACAAACCCTATCTTACCTGGCACAGGAATGTTTTTCAGGAAAAAAATAAAAAAGAAGACTATCACTCCCCATAAGTTAACAGCACTCAAGAGCTTTGCCAAAGCTGTAACTCCCATAGGGCTCACTGTAACAGGTTGCAGAGCTCTGGGGACCTCAACCTTTGTACTTTGCAAGCTGCTCCTACCCACCAGAAAAAAGGGGGATCAAATTGGGCTCTTAAATACTCTCTCAAAGATCTCTCAGGTGTAAACAAAGTCTTAAACCCTAGAAGGATAAAATGAAAATCATCAATATGTTTGCAAATTCATTCAACAAACATTGACTGGACAAGTTGAGCTAATAGTACTGTGCCAAAGTTAATTTCTTCATTGGGTTATACACGGCAGCATGATTAAGAAGGATATTAACATTAGAGGAAGCTAGGTAAAGGGTATATGGGAACTCTCTGTCTTATGTTTGCAACTCTTCTACAAATCTGAAGTTATTTCAAAATGAAAGGTTTTAAAAAAAATGTACCGACAGGCTGGGTAAGAGACTCCCTACAGCAACCTTTGTAAGATGCCAATTTAGGACAGCATGACTGTTGAAATGAGAATAGTCATGTCCATCAGTGAAGTATCACTGTAGGAACAGCACAGAGTCTCTCTAATCCTAAACCACAAGAACATATTTTGCAAACCAAGGCTTTAAGGAAAACTGAGCAAAGAAGTGAGCTTGGTCATGAAACTCACATCCAGGCCATAAACATGTACTTCACAGTAAATGGTAAATGGTTCTGTGTGTGTGTTTGTGTTGGGGGGAGGGGCAGAGAGAAAGAGAGGGGAAGAAAAGGGGTGAATACATGAATGAGATGAAGCTAAAGCAGAACAGAAAGAATCATTTACATCACTCATCTGGGATCAGGAGAAGAAGTCACAGATTTGTATAAGTAACTAGATATCACAGATGGAATGAGTTCCTAGGTGCTGGTCCTCAACACAAGGGCTTTAACTTTTCCAAAGAAAGTTTAGGAAACACTTATCCAAGAGTTATTCAGCATAAGCAACACATTTCAGAAACGTCTTGAATAGCTCTAGGAAATGGAATATCTAAGGCCTAATGCAAGAAAGTTTTGAGGATGATCAAATGGGTGGGTGGGGGGAGCTCTTTCAAGGACAGGAAGGTCTCTTACTTAAGGGTATAACCATGCATCTGCAAGACCAGAAGGAAAGAGTTCTGTCCAGTTTAGAGATAATGGGTAAGGAAATACCTCATTAGGTCCCCAAAGAGGGGGACCAACTTGTCTTTGGATGTCATTGCAAGAAGAGGAAACTGGTTTTTGTAAAGGTTTAATATAAACCTGACTGAAAGCAGAGAGGAGGCATAAATGGTTGATTTAGGGTCTACGCCAATTCACAGAATCAAAGCATATATAGCACGTAGCTGCTTTAACAGACAGGAATCAGGCATTGTTATTCTAGGAACAGATAGTGCCAGTCACATCATGAAACTCTGGTGTAAAAAATCCTTTGACTGATCCAGTTTTCTAACCTCTTCTCCCATTTCAGAGACTTTCTGAGGATGTACAACCGTGCACCTGCAATTCAGGAGACAAGCTGATCTGGCACTGAGCTCTGATTTCTTTTCCAGTAAGACAACTGGGGTAAATTCATGAGAAAATAAATCATGGCCCCCATATCAGAATCTAAAAAAAAAAAAAGGCCATTACTCCCCGGATACTTTATTTTGTGGGGAGAGGAGTCTTATTCACTGATACCCTATTTACAGTACCTTTGCTCTGAGGAAGATTTAAGATAAATAATAGAGCACTCAAAACTCATATTTCTTTAGTGTCTCGAGTGAAAAGAAAATTCAATTGTTCATTGCATTACGTTTGTACATTATTGTATTTAAATCCTATCATGAAAATAGCCCCACTTCACCCCCAAAGAGCTGAGTAAAACCACACTCCACTTTATCCCACTTTGTGTTCCATTTATATTTTAGTACAACACCCAAAGGCCTCCCACTAATGAAAGCAGGATTTGCTAAGAAAGATCAATTTATAACCTGCCTTCATACCCATCAAAGACAAAAAGAGTTATTAAAGTCTGAAACACAGCAACGGGCCTCAAACTCAGAAGAGCCAGTAGGAGAGTACCAGAAGCAAACGAAGGGTTAACACAGCTGATTTCTGGCTTAAGAGAAGGATGCAACATGATTTTTTAAGACAAGCACCTGGAGGGAAAAAAGTAATATTTGTTTCCACCTCAAGAAATTGCAGACAAACGTAAAGCAAATCACATCAGTGGAATACTCAATTATCTGAACATGCTAATTAACGATATGTAATCAACCCGCTTTCAGGCCTTTCTTCACCTGCTGTAATTTCGTAGTGCATTGCCTTCCTTATTCCTCACAACCGGTAGAACATTAGACAGTCTGCATGGTGCATCAAAGGGAAACAAATAAGCACAGATTTTTGCTGATGGCAGGAATTTCTCATGCTCAGGGCATATGAACCAACAATATGGAAACGGCAGCACTGGCTGAATATTTTAATTATTCCCCACACCTATTCTGCAAAAGACACTTAAAGTTCGATTAGGTAATATGATACTCAGTAACCGTTATTTCATAAAACTGAGGGCACACAGTCATTTAAAGTAGTAAATATGCAGTCATGACAGAATTAAATATTCATGAAATCAAGAGCAACCGGAAAGCTGAGGATATTAGAATATTAAAATTCATCATAGTTTTTACAATGTAAATCTTGTATGCATTCGTCAGGCACCCGGGTTCCGTCTAGTGGATGTTCAAATTCCAGTTCCATGGTAGACTGCCATTTAAATTACAATATTGATTTGGGTAGATAAACAACAATGTCAATCCTTACCTCAGTTTCAAAATGCAAAACAATTTTGAATATTTGCAAATACCAACTTGTTAAGCGAGTTCATCTCCAAATACAGAACAGCAACACTCAATGTGATCCCAACATGTGTCGGATATTTGTTTAATCCCCTAGGACCTTCCAGAAGGTCCAACAGAAACCAAGGCAATCTCCTAGAAGGACTCGTGACATGCAATTCTCCTCTAACCAGGCAAAGCGGCTATTTTTCCTGCACAATTCCTTAAGAGATCAAAAGTGAGAAAGTATATTGACCGATCCTCCTTGGGTTCGGGTATCCTGATTTGTTACACCAACTTTTTCCCAACATGAGCAGTCAGTTTCAAAACGTATTGACAAACGCATGTGTACACTTTACACAGATACGACTAAATAACGCTAGCTTCCACAAAACGGAACTCCAAGCGTGAATGGGATAAGACTATGCTCAGAGACCAAGCTGTAATAAATACACTCTGATGATATTACCAAGGCAGTATTTTCTATGCCATTCCCTTTACTTTACAATTTTCTCAACAGAAGAAACATCAGCACCAGAGAATGATGGCATTTGAGCAATTTTGTACTGGAATCCAATTACCTGAAGAACTCCCCTCTCCACAGTAAGAAGTAGCTATCCGCTGGTCTACAATGACACAGCAGGGCAGCAAAAGATTACCAGGGCTCCTCTGCTGCCAGGCACCTGGTCCCTGCCCTCCTAGCTAGGAGGGCGCCAGCTGAGGAGGAGGACCTGGAGTTGAGAGCTGGGTTCGGCAGCGCTCTCCATTCTGCAAATGAGCCAAACTTTGCTCCCATTGTTGCCATCTTAAGGTTGATGTCACCTCCCTCCAAGGAGTCTCGGAAGCCACTTGGCAGCTCCCGAAGACACGCTTCCCCTTGACCTACATCATCTAAATAAGCCTTGGTTATACTGTGTGGGCAAGCAAAGGTCTCTCCACACGGCTCTCCGGAGGTGCCGTGCTCTACCCTGGGCATCACATCGCATGTACCAGAAGACTTTTCTCCGCACACACCTCTGAATACGGAAACCAGGACAGACTCCCGCACACGCCTTCCAGTTCGGAAAGTCACTCTCTCCCATCGACTCCCCTCAACCGCACGCCTTCCCCACATCTGCAACCCCCACCACCACACAAATGAGGGGAGGAGGTGGGGGAGCGGAGGGGTTAAAGTGACAGCCACTACTAGAGATCCTCGGTTTTGTTCAAAAGGTGTCACAGCTCCAGCACTGTGGACCTACCTTGCTCTCTCCTTTCTCCCTGCTGGGTCTCGCCTCGGGATCGTCGCTATCCTCCGCGCCTGCACTCTCACCGCCGGGCACTTCATCCTGAGCCAGCGGCTGCTGCTGCGGCTGCGGCTGGGGCTGGGGCTGGGGCTGGGGCGGCTGTGGCGGCGCCTGGCAGGCTCCGCCAGCCCCCTGGGAGCGGGGGATGGGCTCCGGGCGCGGAGAAACTCCCTCAACATCCATCTCCATCTTCCCATTCACTGGAGGGCAAGACAAAAGCGGAGCGGGGACTTGGCAGCGGCGCCCGGCGGCTCCTCAGCTGCCCGTGGCACGCATGGCTCGCCGAGGAGGGGCCGCCTCCCGCGCGCCCTCCCTCCTGCCGCCCTTCGCCCGCGCTCCCCGCAGCTCCGCTCGCCCGCTCGGCTCGGGCACTGGCGGCGTCTGGGCCGGGGCGCGCGGGGAGCGGGGGGCCGCGTGTCCTTGGAGCGGTGGCCTTCGGGCGCCCCGGGCAGCCCCGCTAAGCAGAGCGCATCCCGGCGGCGGCGGCGGCGGCGGCGGCGACGCCTCCCAGCCGCGCGCCCAGCCCCGGGGCCGCCCGGGGACTTGCTCTCCAGCCGGGCCTCCAGATTCGCGGTGCTTTCCAGCCTCTCCTGGGGCCCCTCGGCGTCTCCCCTCCCCTCCAACCTTCGGAACAAAGTTACTGGAAGAACGGCCGGGCGATACGGACAAGGACTAGGGGCTGCCAGGTGCGAGTGAGCCCTACCATCCCCGCCCGCTGACCAAGCGCCGACCCCTCACCTTTGCCCTCGCCCCGGCGCCGAGGAGCCGAGGAAAGGAGGGGTTTCCGACCTGCGCCAGGTGGTGGCAGCGAGGACCGGCGGGAGGGGGAGCATGCGGAGGGCTGGGGGCCGGTGCGCCCACCCCTGAGCCCCCGCGACCCCCACCTCCGCGCGGGCCCGGCCCTCCGCCCCGCCCCGCCCCCCGCGCCGAGCGTGTCTCCGGGGTCAGCCCTCCGGAGCGTGCGTGAGTGTGTCCCCGGGCTCCCGCTCCTCGGTCTGCTCTGCCGCCGCCGGCTCCGCGCCACACAGCCCCGCGCTAGAGAACTGGAGTGAAGAAGCTGCGGAGCCGGTGGCCAGCTCCGGGCAGGAAATCGACCTACCCTCGCCTCCGGCCCGATCGCGGGCAGGAACCGGGAAGGGGTGGGGCCCCGCGTGGACCGCGAGGACGCTAGGCTCGCAGCGCGACGGAGTTGGGCGTAAAGGTCGGCCAGAGAGGGTCGATGGGGGAGGCGGAGGGTGAAGCGAGAGAAGTCGCTGCCAGGCATTGACTGCAGCGTGCCCCGGGGTGGGCGCCAACTGGGCGCCGCCGCTCCCAAGTGGCGAGCTCTCCTGTGCTGGAAGGGCGTCCTCCGCAGGGCAGGTCTCCAGGAGGTTCCGGTGGTGACCCTAGGCCGGGTAACGAGCTGCGTCTGCAAATATAGGTAGATAGAGGTGACAAGGGTAGACTTGGAAATTCTTAAATCGGGGCTCACCGACAGTCAGGTGATCAGCATGACTTCTAAATTTAACACCACTTGGTCCTGGGGAGTAGCTTACAACTTCGCGGGAACTGCTAACTGCAACTCTGTACGTCCAGGAGGGACCCTCCTACAGCCATGGAGAGAAATAGCAGGTTATTAAGAACCTGTTTAATATTAAGTAGAGCCCATTGTTCTGGGCTTTGAGTTCCATAATGCCCCCAAATGGATCAGCAGATAAATGAACTATTCATGCATTTCTTAGCAGAGTGTGGCCTTTTTTCCATAACATATAATGTATCACAGATAACGCTTACCTAATGAAACTAGAAAATTGCATTGTTCCTGACTGCTTTGCATTAACTTAAGACAACTTTTCCATATAAAGACACTGTCTCAGTAGATGCAATTACACAAGAACACATCATCAGGTCCTATCCTTCAATGCAATCTCTTAATCTCTGACTCTGCCTGTAAATGTGACAGAAATTAATTGCCACTTTAATTTAATCGGTGTAGACAGCCAATCTGGATATTGCAATGTGAACATGCTTTCTCAGAGAAAAAAGTTTGGGGACTGAATTACTCATTTGCTTCTCTTCAGAATTTCTAAAAACCAGATTTCAAGCTCATTTTCTAAGTTGGGAACTTATTAAAAATAAAATGAGCTTGCATTAGTCTGAAATTCACTGTATGGCATATGACCCTTTATGTTGTAAGACATCAGCCAGAAACATACATAGTAATCAATTCTTGTCATATTTTTATAACAGTAAATTACATTATGTGTGTAAAGTGCTTAGCAGAGTGCGTTAGTGCATAGTGAGCACTCCACAATCATTGCCTGTTAAGCTGAAAATAATAAGATGATAGAAATGCACTGTGAGCACTCATCTGAGGACCTCAATTTAGGAAGAAATTGTCAGTTTAATCTTTTTTATATAAATTATTCTAAAAGGTATTTTGTATTTTCAAAGAATGAAACCCCTTCTGAAGACAGAAAGAAAGTCAGTGTGGTGTTTTATGCAATAAAGTTTTGAATCTGTCAGATTTTCCTTCCCCAGTGTAGAAGTAAAAATTACATGTCAGGTCCAACATGAGCTCGAACAGCTGACTGGTAAGTTATTATTCTTACATGCTTGTCACTTCCAAATGTGTTTGTGAACTTCTTTCAAGTCTTAAATGAAGATTAAATCAAAATAAAGATACAATGCTTCAACCAAATTTGTTCTAAATTTAGCCACATGCTTGTAAAGAGTCCCACTGTTAAATGCAAATATTTTTCTTTCTGTGCCCTTCTATTTTTTGGGGACACAGATTTTTTTTTTTGCATCTGTCATAAGTAAATATGGGCTCAGAAAATATATTACATCTCAAAACTGTTGATTGCACCTAATTATGCATGTAAATTGCTACTTCAAGCATGCAGACAGCTTGCAACATTTTGAAAATTTTGCCCTAGTAGTCATCTGAGGTATTTGTGTTACTATTTTGCTTTTGCCTTAAATGACTTCATTTTCCGATTAGCCTCCTGATAATGATGGATCTATGAATAATTTTGACCTTTTGATGTCTCTCTTTTAGATGATTCAAATTAGCAAATCAGCACTTTGAACAAAATCAACCTTCTTATTGTTTATACCAGACCATTTGATGTTTTGAGTCATAGAGAAAAGAGTTTTCAAAAAGGTGTCCTGAAAGAAACATCTAACCCCTTGCTACTGAAAATGTGGTCAATGGCCCTTTAGCATCCCAACACCTATATTGTTAGAAACACAGCCCCAGGCCCCATTCCATACTTACTGCATCACAGTCTGCATTTTAACATGATCCCCCAAGGGATTCCTACCAGATGCAAGTTTGAGAAGCACTGCTCTAATACATCACATAGTTGGCCTTTCAACATCTTAATTATCTTTGGCACTATTCCCCTAAAATATACTGGGAGAGACTTACTAGGAAAACACAATCACAGAAACTTTTTTCCGCCTTGGTCAAGACATTATTGTCCCTCCTTGCCTTCCCCTCCAGGATCTTAGTGTTGCATAATGAGAAGTTATGTAAATTAAGAATGTAACTATGTTGTATATCTGGTAATGGATTAGAAGTATACAATTTTCTCACATCAAAAGGCATTAACCTAAAAAGAGAAGAGCAATTTATCTCGAATAATAAATTTTATGCAAACATGTGGAACTAGTTCCTTAAAAGCTTTCCTATTTTTTACCTTCTGCTTGAGACTTGAAAGTCCACAGTTTCCATTCTGCCTGGGTTATTGATACATTCTGTTACAATGAAAGCAGAAACCACCAAGTTTGGGTCTGTGCAATGACCATCTAATAAATCTTTAGTAATTTGGCATAAGGATGGACTAAACTATATGCCTCAGTATTTTTAGGAACTAACAGAACTTGTTACTTGGAAGAATTTCTCTAAAGTGCATATAGATAGAGCAATAAACTGTTACTTTGAAAGGCTATTCAGTACAGTAGTTCTCACCTTTAATGTACATGGTATCATCTGGGGAAAGCTGTTCAAAATGCAGGTCATGATTCAGCAGGACAGGATCTAGGCCAGAGAATATGCATTTCTTACAAACTTCCAGGTGAAGCCAGGGCTTCAGGTCCTCAGACCTAACAAACTTGCTTTATCATCGCTAATGGTTCTTAAATTTTAATCACCGGGAGAGTGATCACTTGGGAATATTTTAAATCTATCATGCCCAGACTACCCGCTTCCAGACAAATCTGATCAGAATCTTTGGGGGTGAGAGCTAGGCATCAGTGGTTTTTAAACTTACCCAAGTAATAATGATACCTAGACAAGATTGGAATTCACTGTAAATCTGTGATTCTCCAAGGATGGTCCCCATTACCAGCAGCAGCAGCACTTGGGGGCCAGATACAAATGCTGGCTCTCAAGCTCCACCCCCAACTTACTCAGTATCCAAATTGAAGACCTATAGGTGATATGGTTGCACATTTAAAGTTCCAGAAGCATAACAGCAACCTGATCACAACTCTTTTATCTCTTGGCTTTTTATGGATCTATACCCTTCCTAAACGTTTGTAGAGAACCTCATGGATAAAGTTCCAACTGATAAGAGGAGTCCACGAGCATCCTAGCTGCCTTACTATCTCTGCGATTAGTGGCACTGTCCAGCAGAACATTTCTGAAATATTAGAAATGTTCTATATCTGTGCTCTTCAGTAAGTAGCCACCAGCCACATGTGGCCATTGAGCATATGAATTATGTCTAATGTGAAAAACTTTTAATTTTATTTCATTTTAATTGATTCAAATTTAAATAACCTCATGTGGCTATTGGCTCCCCTATTGAACAGAGCAGCTCTAGAGTAATCACCCTTCCTGTTGTTCAACCCTTATTCAAATTCCCAGGTTGAACACAGGCCCCTCCTGCTCAGTTTTTGTATGTATTAATCCCCAGTGAATGCATCAGGATGAAAAACATCTGCCTTGCCACCTCATTTACATAATAAGTAACATTATGCTTATTATTTTGAATGAGAGGAGTTTAACTTGAATTAAATGCCACCAAAAGTTGTCAAAACCTTTTTCATAGTATTCATAATTACGTAGCTTTAATTTTACAGCCTTTTCAGACGTCAGCACACATGGGGTGCATTTGGAACTGCCTTAAGAAAAGGAGACAAAAGAGTGCAAATAGATTCTGGGTAGAAGACACATGAAGATACCCCTCCCCCAATATCTT